CCCCAAAACCCCAAAACCCCAAAACCCCAAAACCCCGCTGTATAATAAAAATGTTGAAAATGGGAAATATTTCAGACTGCTCATTTGGAGAATTTAGAAATCGCTTAAATTCAGAGAGTCCAGCCTACCCTTCAAGTGGGTCTGCGTGCTGTTAAGGTTTATAGAGTGCCTCATTTTGACATGGGAAGAAATCCTGATTCTTTTACGAGTAGCTATACTTTTAGCAGTTTTGATTCTGAGGCTCTGTTTTGAAGTTTCGTAAGAGTTGAGAATGTCCATAGTACTGAAAAGATGTTGGGTATCTTTGGCTCCTTCAGCTGCTTTTATAACTTTTTCAAAATCAAGATCTTGCCCAGGTTTGCCTAAAATAGTAGGATTTACTTACAATTCTTCCTTAAGTTCATATAAATCACTGGAGTATTAAGTACAACTTTGCATGCTCGGAGCTCATTGAGACTTTTTGATAAATTAATTGTATAATTCTTGATTACTTGATCCTAAACCCCTTAATCTAAAGCTAACCTTAACTCTAACTTCTTTCTTCAGCAAGCTTTGGTATCCCTCTAGCCTTTTGATTTTGGCCTCATAGTCTTCCTTGAGATCCTTAATTTTCTCTTCAAAATCCACTTTCATCTGTTGGATCTCTAATTCCTTCTGAATTTTAAGCTTTGCTGAGAATTCTTGTTCCACTTCAACATTTATTCTTAACTGCTGGATCTCCTTATCCTGCATGAGGCCAAGAGTCTTGAATGACTTCATATCTTCCTTCATTGAAGAGTAGACTATCTCCAGGAACTTCTTTGCTAAAGGGATCGGACGCTAGAGGATGATGAAAGGACTTACTAGATGGGAAGATGTTTCCTGTAAATGAACTAGCATGTTATGGAGCTGAAATCCTTTAGAGATGGACAATGTATCCTCCTCATTCTGCTTCTTAGGCTCAAGAAATCCAGGCATATCATTCTTCTTCTGCTTTCTTGTGAAATATTGCACTATCTCATTACAGAAGGTTTTAAGCTGAGTCACTAGTATTTCTAGAGGAAGATTGTCACTTAATAGTTGCTTATAACAGATCTAGGAAAGAGACTTACCTTTTTCTGCTACCTCATTCTCTAACTTCAATATAGTTTCCTTATTGCATATGATTTGGTTTTCTTTAATAAGATTTTGGCTATTTTAAGCACTCTATTTCATTATGAAACTGCTCTTCTATTTTCTGGAGTCTTCTTAAGAACTGTCCTTTGATCTTTCTTCTGAGTTTGAATCTGATTTGCTCAACTTCTTTCTCTTTAAGTCCTATAACTCAGGTTGGCATATTTCTAGCCCAACAAAAAGATGTTGTAAATAATCTTTTGGAAAGTAGTCTCCTTGGTTTTAAGAACTATTCAAAACCAAAAATCCATGGGCATCAAATTTGTAAGTTGTCTTAAAACCTGGATCAGAAGGAGCTTACTCATTTGAGACTGCTGCTTTGAATAATTCATGAACTCTAGCTTAGAGAAAGCTTTCTCTTTGACATCAATTGTTTGATTAGTTGGCCAATATTCTTTAGCAAACTCAGCCTCAACACTATCAGACTTATCACTGTCTTTTCTATGAATGTTGGCCTTTTTGGGAGATTTCTTGAATAATTTCTTATGAGATTCAAGTTGTTCAGGCTCTCTGTTGAAGCCATAAATCCTTTCAAATTCTTGTACAAATCCTTTATCCCTACTTGGTAACGAGAAGGAGGAATTACTTTGACTTTTTGGTCTGGAGGATCTTGAAGCGCTCTGCTTCAAGAGGGTCTATCAGTATTTCTCCATTGACCATTTCTGCCTTAATCTGAGATCTTCCTAAAAAGAGTGATTAATAGAAAACTTTAGCTAGGCTTTCTTTCCATACCAGTTTTGAATAAAATTGAGTTAGAAAACAAAATTAAAAACTCTTGGATATTATTTATTTGCCTTATTGAAGCACAATGAGATAATGATTTAACAGTCTTTAAAGATAGTTTCTGGCATTGCACTTACTGCTTGAATTATGAAACCTGTTTGATTGTGATTCTATATGAATTCTGTAAGAGCATTGCCTTTTTAAGAATTTTAATTTCCTCAATTCAAAAGATATATCAAAAGAATCTCAAATGATTGCACTGATTGACCAAATTTAATGTTCTAGGAAATGTGATACACTCAGATTTCTTACTAGCCTACCATGTCTATCCAAACTTACTGATATACTTATCATCACTAGAATGGCTTGATAAACGGCTCATTTCAATAAATTATATTAATTTGGGGTTTTGGGGTTTTGGGGTTTTGGGGTTTTGGGG